TTTTGATTTAAGTTCAAATTCATTGTTAAATTTCATCCCCGACTTTGTGTTGACTTCATACATTTGGGGCTATAATAGGATTCCTAGACCACAGTTTTTATTTTTACCCTTTTTCCGCCTTGTCACTTCATTTTTTTCTGAAAAAATCGGAGAACCAACAAATCGAATTGGTGTGGCCTTACAAGAAAATCCACTCAATCCCATCCTACAATTTGAATGATTTTCACTTACAAATACAAAAAAACTATATAAATTCCACAACCTACACATTTATGGACTGAAATAGCACACAGGTACATATAGGTGTATGAAGCTCTCTAGTACTATTAATGGTCCACCAAAGACATGTACAAATGTTGCAAAGACATGTAAAACACTGAACCAGACCCTACATCTGCTTGAAAAAAAGCTCACAGTCTTATCATACCAACTAGGGAGAGAAGGGCCTGTCCACTGGCAAGCTACAGTGGCAAGGCTGACTTGCAAGTTACCATCTGTGTCCTGGTAGACTGAAGGGTACATGTAGCTCATGGGGTATAAGGGTCTAAACACCCCATATAAAAAAGTACAAACTGTATCTTTTCATGTGTGGCAATGAGATTTTCAGACTTAAGATTAAAAAAAATGGAGACTGAGGAATTTGGAAAATGCTTTTAAACTTGCTTTGATGTGACAACAATGTATATTTACTTTACTCCTACCCCCTCTTTTGAGTTGACTTTGGTATAGTCGTCAAAACTATGGGCCTTTCTAGCTTGCTCTGTCCAAGGAGTTTCGATAAAAACACCATCAAGTTTAATTTGAGAGTGACCATCCCCTATCTACAATGTATCTCTGCAACCTTGAACTGAATTTGTCTTTGCTCTTATAAAGTCAGGCTAAAGGATACTAGATTTACTCTAGTTTTCTAAGTTCCTAGTGGGACAGGAACAGGAGTGACATATGATACAGCACCTTGCCCCCTTAGCCTTCCTGTGACCCCAGCTAGCGGAGAGCGGACTGTGCAGGAATGCCTGGACAGTTCCCACTGGGACCAAAGGATAGCCTGCCTTTGTTTAGGTTATCTGAACCAGCTTCTCAGTTTCTTATGAGGAGGAAACCTAAATTCGAGCTAGCTTGTGTAAGAAACAGGAGGCAGCTCCAGGAGGAACAGATAAAAACCTGATAAAAACCCACTGATCTATCACTTTGTGACAATGTCAAAATGTACATGTTTATCAATCACTGTCTCAATCTACTTTTCACAGATTATGATGAAATAAACTACAGCATAATTACATTTTACATCCACAGCTGAGAATAACTGCATGTTACAACAACTACAGGAGTTTGACATGAATTCTGATCACCTCAAACTCAGTCAAAGGAAAGCTGAATTGCATCTTCTTGTTCAAGTTGTTGTTTCATTCCTACAAAATGACCAGAAGGTATCAGGGATCTGAACAACAGATAAAGGTTGGACTTCAAGCCTTTTTTGTGACAGAGGTACATGTAGACAGAGGCCAACATCTGCTTGGAACATACAAACAATGGATACAAGGCATCTAGAAAACATCACAATTTTCTAGCTTAACATCTGCTTGGAGAAATCAGACACTGGATACAACAGACTTGGATACAAGACAAGGAAAATTATGCTGCCCCCAGCCTGGATGCCAGATCCCTGCCCCACATATACTCCCCTCCATCATGGGAACCACCTGGATCCTATTCTCCAAGCAGATCCCTCTTGTGGCAAAAGGACAGTATCAAATTGGCCAGGCAGTAAGTATCCATTAGCTAGAGAAGGTCTGCGGCCACCAACGGGGTGGGGGTCAGGACAAAACAAAAACAAAAACGGCCATACATGTATATAAAAATGTAACAATCATTCTAGCCTGGGTTCCAGACCCATAGCACACTGGACACAAATATCTCAGTGAGCCTTGCACACGAGATATTTTGTGTCCAGTGTGCTTTGGGTCTGGCATCCAGGCTATGGAGTCTGGACAATACATTTGTACATGTACACCCTTTTCTCCTCAAAGTGTGAAAAACGTCCTGGAGTACAGTAGTCATGGTAGTAGGCATTTCCACGGTCTCATCAGACCTTTAGGAGCTTTAATTACCTTCGCCAAGAAGGTTATGTTTTCAGAGGCGTTCGTGTATGTGTGTGTGTGTGTGTGTGTGTGTCTGTCAACACGATAACTTGAGAAGGCTTAAATGGACTGACTTGATATTTGGTAGGTGGGTAGTTCTTGATAAGACCTCAAAATGA